TGAATTGTGAATACTCTGTCGACGGTCAATGGTGCGTTCATTGAAGCATAGACTGATCATGTAGACTAATAATACATTGAAGTGCAGAATCCATTTGCTGTACATATCTTTTCTAATAGTGAATTCCTCCTGATCATGTCTTCTCTGCGAGTGAATGCGAATATGTGTTTAGCGGATGTAAAAATGCAATGCGAATTTGTTTTTGCGCTCATGCTGGATTGTGGTTGTTGCTTGCTGGTTATATGTTGTCTAATGATGCTGAGGTATATTACATGGAGCTCTGGCATAAATAACTGGGAAATTTTAGCCATGTACGGTTTATAACTTTATTCGTACAATCTGATGAAGATAATCACCCCATTTTCTTGTTATAATAAGCAACTTAATTAGAACACATGAATTTTTCATTGTCAAAGAGTTTTAAAAAATGTTATTTCTACTATTTAAATAATTTAACTAGTGTCGTAGGGGCACATGCTAACAAGGTTCATTTCAATTTTTAGAATGCTAGTTGGCCACATCAGCTAACCCACGATGATTGTTGCCAGAATAACATCCAACTGATGGAGCTGCAATTGATATAAAATGAAGATAGTCACAATTACAATCTCATATTATCTTATGTCTTCACATTTATTATTGAGAAAGAGAGAGAGAGGTGCCAGGGCCACTTCATAACATCTTTTTATATGAAAAGTAATCTTACTATCATTAATAATTTAAGAGAAATTAAAATAAAGAAAGAAAATAAAAAGAATATAAAAAAGAACAGAGGCCGTGAAGAGAGAGGATGGCTGGTTGAGCTGCCACCACCCTTTGAGACGTTGTTAAATGTTAGAACTGTTCTTGATTGGTGTGCTTCAACAGAGCATAAAGGGTTTCAAGATCCTTAGTCAGTTTGTGAGGATGATTGTCTGTAGTATGTGCGCGCGTGTTTGCGATACAATGTGACATGTTTGGTCGACATTTGATGAAATGGTGCATTTTGTGTTGCGAATCTGTTTTTGACTTGCTTGGAATTTTTTTCACCAACCAAAAGGGCACCAACGAAGCCGGAGTTTCATACCCGCTAGGAGTGTTTGCTTTTCAGTCGTAGCTATTGCTCATGGAGTTCTCAGGGGACAGGCCTAAGGGGACTAACCCAAATGCTAGGGATTTGCCCAAGCAACTACTACCACAATTCCAACTATTGGAAGCGGGTTCGAACATGTTGCCCTGTGGATAAAATTTCCTAGATCGGTTCGAACCCGAGACCTCTTGCGAAATCTCGCCATGGATACACCCGACCATTGGGCTACCGTGCCTGTGGTCGCTTTGCTTAGAATTGATTTGATTGGATTTGGTTTTGACTCTTATTCAGAGTAGAAGAACAAATTAGTAATCTGTCTGTTCTATTGTCCTCACGGATTTTTTGGTTTTAGTGTAGAATATGTAACAATGCACCAAAGACCACTGATATTCCTGATGCTGCTTTCATTTCGGCCTGGTGACTGAACTGAATCAGGAGATGGTCAGTGATAGATTAGAATGTCTAAATTGAGTTTTTGGCTGTATAAGAATAATGCTAGGTCTTCTTACAAAAATTGGTATACTACGGCATACTCCTATTGAGCGTTGACGATGATCCATTTATTTAAAAGACCACTTGTAGTTGGCCGTATCACTTTGTATACAGATTCTGTAGACAAGTTTAAGTAAATCTAGCATGACTCTTTCTATATTCACAATGCTAGCCATATTTTAAGTGATGTTGCTTATGTCTTGAGTCCTTGATTCTCCTGATATTTAGCTATAGTTACAATGAGCTGATTTATTGTGGTTTCAATGTTATCTCACTTACTTTATTTTCTTATTTCAGGAACAGTTTTAAAGACTGAGGAATGGTTGGTGCTATATGTGAGAGGGATTTCAATGGGGGTGGGGGAAGAAGAGTTTGAACAGGAGCCATATGTGGGGTTGGAGTTTGATACCGCAGATGATGCTCATATATTCTAAGGCAATTATGCATCATGAGTGGGTTTAAGAATATGATCTGGTCAATTGTATCGATTGTGAGTTGATGGATCGGTTTGTAACAGGAGATTTGTGTGCTGGAAAGAATGGTTTCAGATTAATTCAAGGACAGGATGCCCTACATCTATAAGGGTGAAAAAATCTGATTCTGGCAAAGTGGGTCCTTGACCAATTTGCGAAAGATCATAATCATGATCTCGACGCTTGTGAGGAGAATCATCCTGCCAATTCCTGGTGCAAAAATTCAGCAACTACTGCTAAAGTAGTTGATTTGTGCCGTAAGCCATGGATAAAACAGCTTTGATGTTGTTGATAATGGATGCTCATCTTCTTCAAGTATTGTCAGTGCCAAACGCATTAAACCAGGGGCGAATGAAGGACAAGTGAAACTTGAGCCCTATGTGGGTCTAAAGTTTGATTCAGATAACAAAGCATACCATTATTATGATACATATGCCGGGAATGTGGGAATTAGTTCGTATCGGTCAGTTGTTTCGATCAAAGAATGATGGTTCGATTACTTCTAGGAGATTTGTCTGGTCGAAGGAAGGATTTCAGCGTCCTGCTAGGGTTGGGTGTGGTGCATTTATGAGGATTAAGTGGCTTGATAATGGAAGATGGATTGTTGATCGTTATCAACTAGAGCATAACCATGAACTTGAGATGCAAATGAAAGCCAACAGAGGTTCAGCTTCTTGAAATTTTTAGATGAGATCAATGAAACATCGGAAAAACTAGACATTGCTAAAAAGCACAATGGGAGCTCACAAAGAAACATCGTGCGAACAACATAGGAAGTGATTGGTATACTGTGCTTCATAATTACTTTCAGAACCGACAAGCTGTGGACATTGGATTCTTTTATGCTGTTGATGTACAGTTGGGTTGTTGTACGAGTCTTTTCCGGGTTGATGGCAGGTCTAGGTTTTCCTGCAGTCAGTTTGGTGATGCCATCATTTTTTATACCTCCTATAAGCAAAACAATTATGTGGTGCCATTTGCTACTTTTGTTGGTGTTAATTACCACAAGCAGCCGATTCTTCTTGGATGTGCTCTAGTTGCTGATGAATTGAAGGAGTCGTTCATATGGTTGTTTGAGACATGGCTCAGGGCAATGTCTGGGTGCCATCCCAAGTCGATAATAGCTGATCATGATGATTCCATTCTGCAAGCGATTGCACAGGTTTTTTCATCGAGTCATCATCGATTCTCCACGTGGCAAATTAAGACAAAAGAACGAGAGCATTTGAGTCCACTGAGTATTGATTGTAAATATGAATATGAGAAGTGCGTTTATCAAAGTCATACAGTTGGTGAATTTGATGCTGCATGGGATGCTCTTCTCAGCAAATATAGCTTCAGGGAAAATTCTTGGCTGAAGAAAAAGTATGAAAAGCGTGAAAATCGGGTTCCACTGTGCTTACGTCGAACATTTTTTGCTGGAATTCCCATCGATGGAAGTCTAGATGCCTTTTTTGACCCATATTTAAATTCTCAAATGCCACTTGAAGAATTTGTTGTGAGATATGAGCAAGGTTTGGAGCAAAGTCATGGCAATGAAAGGAAACAAGATTATCACTCAATCAACTTGCAGGCATTTTTGCAGACAAATGAACCGATGGAAGAGCAATGTAGGAGGCTTTATACCCTTTCCGTTTTCAAAGTTTTCCGGAGGGAACTTTTACAAAGCTACAGTTATCTGGGTGCCAAGATTCATCAACAAGGGGCCATCAGCAGATATTTGATCCGTAAGTGGGGCAATGAGAATGAGAAACATATCGTTACCTTTTGTTCATCCAATCTCGATGTGAGTTGTGGCTGTCAAATGTTTGAATCGGAGGGTGTATTGTGTAGACATGCTTTGAGATTGTTCCAGATTCTAGATATTAGGGAGCTTCCATCTCGCTACATCTTGCATAGGTGGACAATGAGTGCCGAGTATGGCACTGTACGTAATTCTGAATCAGGAGGTAGCTCCCACGAAATTAAGGCAAGATGGTCTGGAGTCTTCGTGAAATTGTTGCCAAATATGTAGAGTTTGGTGCCACATCTTTTGAGAAATACAAAGTTGTATATGAAATTATGCATGAGGGTGGGAGGAAACTTTGCTAGCAGAGGTAAGTTTAAGAAAAAATTGTAGTTTGGAGTGCGTCTATGGTTTCTTTTCCGGCAGGCCTGACTTTCATAACTAGAGGGCATCAACTTGTTTTATACACTATAAAGCATTCTCAATCAGAAGTGAAATTATGTGGATGTGAAAATATGCATTCTGCTCGTTCTTTTTGTTGGTTGCTTCTGTTTATCTCACCTCAGAGGCTAGGGGTAAGGGAGGGGATAGATTGAGGAGAGTGAATGAGGAACTATGCTCAAAATATTCTTCCAATAAAATTGTACCTGAAGTTTCAAAAGGCAAATTTCAACAAACGTCCAGCGGGAGGAAGCCACCACAAGCCCCCTGACTCTGTCTTTGAGAAGCTGACGTGATATTTGAAGAACCTTTAGACCTGTGCTCTGGTGTAATTTCCTCCAAGATATACAATCTCTCTCTCTTTGGTGTAACTTTGGCAAAAGGAATAGGAGACATGGATGACTCTTAGTTTTGGTGCAGAAGTTAGCACGAGACACCTGCTTGTCTAACCTTTTAATGAGCTACTCATAGTGAAGTTAATGATATACACGAGTTGTGATGATTTGCTTTTCAATTTTTCCTCACCCTGAATAATCTTACATGAACATAAAAGGAAAAGTGAAGTTCATCTAATAGAAACGCTTGATTCAACAATCAATTACGCTTCACCACCTCAATTGTAGTTGTAGAAAGTTACTCAGTGGATTTGATTTTCTATGTGGCAATGATTTTTCCAGCAATATTTGGAAATGCCATGACATTCCATGATGTGACTGATCTCTTGTATCATGTTTCTTATTTCATCTTATTTCTTGACCATACATTTGCTTTCCGTATGCGGCTTTAATAGGACATATCATAGCCGACAAACTTCCGTTATTCAACGATGTTGAAATGTTCCACTATATTGGAGTGTGCTGAATAACTCTCCTACTACAAATTTAGTTACGAAGAGCAATACTGATGAAGACAATGCAAAATGAAATATCTCGCAGAAACACATCAGAAACTCTCAATTGTATATGTGATACTGGCTCACGAAGCAGCATAATTTGTTCTTTAAGATGCACGAGGAGCTCTTTAATGGATATCTGTCCATGAGCACTTCAATATATGAGAAAACTAGGGCAATCACTATTGTGCTGGCAGATACACTTGTCCTTATGGCAGCAACAATGAGCTTCTTCTTGTTATAGCAAATTTGGCTACTCTCAGTAGGAGAAACTATGAGAGAATATATGGCCGAGGGACCAAGTGGCGTATATAGCTAGCTTAGAGTTGAACTTGCTTGTGGGCAGATAAGTAGCTCAAGACTGCCATTGATATGTAGCTTAGACTACTGAGGCTGAAGCTGATGTACAACACCTGTAATGAGACAAGATTTAGAAATGCATGAATTGAGATTTGCCTGATCGAGTGCTTCATAGAGTCCATGTTCATATCATATATGACAACCTAGAAAAATTTTAGGAACACTCTGGTATGGTATGATATGTTGACATTGGTTCCTGATGCCTTGACTTGAAACCTGAGCTTGAATATTATTTGAGATCTGAACATGCCTAGTGCTTAGTACAAATTATAGATCAAGAATAAATCATGATCTCCCCTAGTTAAATTCAAGTTACATTTTCTTTTCAGTTGTATACTCTTAACTAGGGTTGATACACTTCAACTGAAACTTGCTGAATCATGCAAAGAGAATAGAATTCTCATTATTTTCGAGAATTTTTCTTTCAAGCCGATGTCAGAGTATTTTTTTATCAACCTTATTAGAAATTTACTAGCAATTTCATAAATATATGAACTACAGAAAACTTTGCAATTTCTTCCCTTAACCGGACTTGGGAATCGTTTGAGAAGTCCAATCCGCGTGTCTTCTCATCTATATTTCCAGAGAAACAGCTATCCTACTTCGCAAACTTTCTATCTACTAGACACGGTAAGATAGATAAGTTAGCATCAATATCATTGTTAATTATTTGTTCTATTGTTGAATAAGACAATCGAATAGGTTTGAGGAGATGAGTTGACTTTTAGTTCTGTAGAAGCAAAGTGTTAGGTATTGCCAAATTGCTGTTTTTATGTATATATTGCACTTTCCATGTGAATGAGAACATTTCTTTGCCTCGCAAAGAAAAAAGATTTGCTGAGTTGGACAGACAAACTTGGGCGACCCCAAAAATTACAGTCTGTTTATACTTCCCAAAGTTCTCTTGATGAGACATTGGAAGAGATGAAGCAAACTGGTGCATCTCATGTTTACTGAATCAGAAGTCAATATGCCTTTCATTCAAAAGAAAGTTGAATATGACAAATTGGATGAGTTTAGCATATGACAAAAATTTGGATGAGTTGCGCTGAAATATCTAAGTAACTGACCATTTGAACACGGTAAGATGTCCATGATGCTAAAGGGTAATGGTGAACTCAAATCCTGAAACATTGAGACTACTTGCGAATGTAGGATGAATCCAATGTAAAGGAGACTAGGTGTGAGCTCGGACACCTAATTTTCTTTCTCTAGGAAGTATTTACATGAGGATCTTCTCTCAATGTCCTAAATCTAGAGGAAAAGGGGATCACAATCTCTCAGCTTGTAGATCCTCACCGATTTGATTAATGCATTTGGCCTTTTTAAACAGCAACTTGAATTTTAGACCGTCAATGCTAGCTTTTGAGTAGAGCTTCAGCCTGATGGGTAGGCTCCCATTAAATTGTAGTTTCAGCAAGTAAAGAGGTCATGGTCCATGTTTGAGGCAGGGAGTCTTCCAAGTAACCTGCATATCATTTTAAGCCATTAATTGACTGGACAAGGAATGTGAACTTTCTGTGTTTTATCTATATTCAGAAATATTTAAGCATTCCATAGAGTTTTTTTGAGACACTATAAGAACTGAGATGTCCAAGTCTTAACTTCAATAAAGTTCTGTAAATATTGGATTAGTAAGGACTGATGTGAAGATTTACATTTGTTTAGGAAGCAAAACTGGAGAATGCTTTATGAGGGTTAACGGTTTCTTTCGTAGTAACAATCATAGAATCAACTGAGACCAAAAAGAACAATAAGTACTTTCTATGTACTATTTTTTTATGGTAGCTTTTCTTGAATCATCCATGAAAGTTAAGGGTGTTTAATTGATACTCAGACAGAGCACAAAAAGGGACTGGTGGGGTCATTGTTACAGTACCTTTTCCTTGCTTCTCAAGGTCACCACCCACAAAGATTGAGCAAGCACGGTTGGCAAGTCCCTGCATAACAGAATTCAAATAATTCAGGCATCATAACAATATTTGAGTTCAATTTAATGGGCAATCTTCGAAATTTGACTCGCAGCTGGTGTGCTTCTTCTGAGCATTACCCTAGAAAATATGTCGATGTTGGCTGTTTCATGCTTTCCTGTCAACCTTCTCTCATTTCCTTCTCCGTAGACGCTAATGTGCTCCTCATGGCGAAGTGAGAGATTCAGAATTGCCTTCTTTATCATTTCAAAGCCTCCCTCTCACTCATGCTTTTGGTACTGCATAAATCACGGAGAAAAAACACTATTAAAGTCCTTTAATGAAAAGAAATACTTAATCAAGTCCATGTTATTTTTATGGTGTAACCTGTAGTTAGTGTGGCATCCTGCACCATTCCATTCACCCTGAGAAGGAAGAGAGTATTTTTACAAACTTATGGATAATATATTGCATAAATGGTGATAAAGAAGTCGGTGACCTCCATTGGCTACGGATCTAACACGAGGACAACACCAGCTTGCTCAGTTATTCTATGCCATATAATCAACATAAACAATTAAGTATTTGAAACTGTAGGACACGTCTATATGCACTTATTCTGTTTGCCGTTAATGACATTCGGTTATTTTCTTGAGCAAGTAATTGTAATTTCACCTCGAGAAGGTATCTCGAACACCATATATAATCTCCCGCTTCAATTCCCATGCTTGGTCCCTCTTGGTACTCCCACTGCACGATAGAAGCCAGAGTTGATGGCAACAATTCTGTGCTTTTTTTTTTTCCCGTAAAAACAGGCGAGATGGCGATATATCTTATTGTCGCCATTAGTACCTCGATTTGCTGCCCATATCAATGCCAGAACCTCCGATTCTGTCTCATAGTTAGACTTACATCAAAACATTAAACAAGATTTGCTAGTGTAGAAATTGAAATACAAAAAAAGGTGTCACTTGTTGAACGTGCATAAAACATATGACATATTTATCCTGATGGTAGAATGAAGAAAAATTCTAACTTCTAATCTCAGTACAGAATAGTTCAAGTATTATTCATTTTTTTGTGCACCACACTTAAAGGTTTTAGGCATTAGAACATACCAAATGTGATTTGCAACTATTGGATCGGTGCAGGGCGTGACATTCAAGTCGAGAAGACTCTCAAGCCTGTAATAGTAGTGTTCTCAAACTTCAAAGCATACACCCTAAACTTAGAAAAGCTCTTGGTGCTTCCACTCTTCTTCTGTTTTAGCAAGAGAAAAATCCATGTGTTTGCTGTCATGGGACTGTCGCTCTGTGATTCCTTTGTGATCCTCAACTGGCATTGTGTCATTGGTGCCAAAATCTGCGCCATTTCTGCCTAGTCTAAAAATTAAAGCAGTGTGAGTAATAGACATATCTACTGAACCAAAAATCCTGGAAGCTTAATGTCATGGAAGATAGTTAAACGATAAGCTCTGTTTGTATGACTTGGCCTTCTGGTATGCATGAGAAATTAGTTTTGAAAAGATAAAAGATGGACTGGGTACTTCGAAGAAAGGGTCTCTTTAGCAAGTGCTAGCGCCAAAAAGTAGAAAACCACTTTTTGAAGACCAGTTTCAAATAGGAAAAACTTACATTTTGAAGCATAAATAGCGAGTTTTATCAATTGCCCTCAGGACGCTACCACATTCTCCTTTGAAAATAAACTAAAAAAAACAGTGGAAAAACTATACTTATTCTTTTAGAACCATTTCAAGGTTATTCTCAGGCCTCATTCCCAAAAGAGAGCTTGAGAACAAGTAAAAAACTGAGGGCAGGGCAGTTACATAGTTGAAGGAAGCAAATTGCAGAGTGCAACAGTTTAAGAGATTAATGGAATTCCACCTTACCAAGGATCAATCAGCAAACATGTTATTATGATATTTCATTAGATCTAATGGATGATCAACTCGTGAATCTTGACTGTGCACCTAATTCTTTCCTCTCACAATGAAAAGACAATCACATTGAAGTACTTTCTTCTTTCACAAACTTCGCATAATTGCAAATTACCCTTGCCAACGGCTTTGGCAAAAATATCCATCAGATATCGCCATGGCAGATTAAGACTACGGAACACAGCAATAATTAGTATGACCAATTGAAGTCACGGAACAAGAAAAATCTGAGACAAGAGTTGATACAAGAGATATCAATTCCCCAAGAGGTCCACAACATAGACTTAACATTGGTAGTGATTGATTTAGTCATCAAAAGAAACGACAACAATGACTACTGCTCTGTTCATTCATTCTGCCTTGCACAGCACAATTTTCTTTTGCAAACATTGTTTTGAACAAGAGATGAAGAACATGTCAATTGTCAACCAAACAAAATGAGTAGGACAACCTTGCAGTGATCAAAATGGAGAAGTAATAGATTAGACTTCCAATCCAATTGTCATAAGGCCTCTTCTAATTTCAAACATTTACTCAATTGTTTAAGTTGGTGCTCAAAATTGGCAAAGGATTTACCTGAGAATCTCTATAGAATGGCTGAACGGCAAGACAAGAATGCGCATTTCCCTTCTCTCTCTCTCTATCTCTCTCTCCCCACCATCGCGTTTCTCTTCAAACTCTTCACAGAGAGACCTCAGAAACTCTACTATAATGCAAAACAATTTGCAGCTTTTAGTTTACACAACATTGCTTTCAAATGCTAACAATAACATCGCTTCATGTACGAGAGTCCTCCCAGAATCATCGGACCGTGCAGGCAACTTCGCTCCTCGTGGAAATCAAATGAGCAGATTGCACACCATATCTGCAGCATGAGTCACGAGCCAGATTCAATGAGCTCGGAGTTGGATGAGAAAGGGTATCAAAATTTTTCTCTGTGTTTTTTTCTCTCGCGCTTCTGGGAATAAAGCGATGTTCCCACACACCCTAATCCCCAATCGAATCAAGCATCCAAAGGGGATATGCCCAGGCCCCAAACCTTTCACCGATCTGTCCATAATCGTATCCCCCAAAAATCGAATCAAGTATCCAAACACCATGTTCGAAAAATCATTATTCATGAAAAAATCTGGGGAAAAAAAAAGGAGGTCCCATGTACCTTCAGTAAAGAGGTTGTATGTCGGGGATATGAGCGATCTTGTCCCAGTCCTCGCCTCCATCTCTCTTGCACCTCCTCTCCAATTCTGGGCATTCGTAGATTATCAGGTGAGTAAGGGACGCAAGCCTTCGCATTCCTTCTGGTAATGACGTCAACGAGGGGCAATTTATGATTTCAAGCAGCTGAAGTGATTGAAGGGCCTCGATCTGCTCTGGTAATGCCTTCAAATTGGAGCAACGGGAAATTTGGAGATGCTCGAGATTGCTGAGCTGGAGAAGCCACTGTGGAAGGGATGCTAGTTTGGGAAGGCCGCGAATCCACAGGGACCGAAGACTCTGATGGAGTCGTCCATCGAAATCCAAGATGAGGTTGCCGCTCTCGTCTTTGCATATATCCAGCTCATCACAATCCCAAATATCTAGACGCTCGAGATTGCCGGCCTGTAGAAGCCACTGTGGGAGAGATTCTAGTTTTGGAAGAGATTCGATCCACAGGGACCGAAGACTGTGATGGAGTACTCCATCGAAATCCCATTTATCCAGCTCCGAACAATACCGAATAGAGAGATGCTCGAGATTGCTGGCCTGGAGAAGCCACCGTGGGAGAGATGCTAGTTTTGGAAGTCCCCAGAGTCTCACGGAGCGGAGACTGTGAAGTTCCAAGATGAGGTTGTTGCTGTTGCCGCCGCTGCTTTCGCCGTGATTGGATAAATCCAGCTCCTCAGAATCCGAAGAATCGAGATCCACCTGGTTGGATTGATGTCGCCTACCCAGGGGTGGTGGTGGTGGTGGTGGTGCTTTTGAGAGAGAAGTTAACCCATGACAATCCATTATGTAAAGCTTTTCAAGGGAGGCGAGACTTTTCCAGCACTCCTCGGGCACACATTCCAGAAACTCCATCTCCTCGATATCTAGACGCTTCAACTTATTAAGGCCAACTATCATATTTATCAACGCTGGGTGGACCCTAGTCAGCATTAACTCCTCAAGACGCGGAGCCAGTGGCATGGCTTTCAATTTTTCACAGTTTTGGATATCCAATTCCAATAGCCTAGGAAATGATGCTATTGAAGTGGATGAATGGCCTAACCCGATATCTTCCAATTCAGGCAGCTCCAAAATAGATAAAGACTTGAGGCGAGGTAGTTGGCCTAATGGAGGGAGACTTTTACATCTTCCACAATTGTCAAAGCATACCTCAACTAAATTGGACAAGGAAGACACGAGACTATCCATCATCCACCTTGGAAAGCTCTCACCGCTATATTCATTGATCGTCAACTTCTGCAGACTTGAGTGCGGCCTCAATCCATCTAATAGCACTTCATCTCTATTTGCGACATCACCGGTATTGAAATAACCCCATTCAAGTGCCAAAGATTCCAGAGACTGCTTCCCTATCAAGTTCGCAGCCTTGGATTCTGCTTCGGCATCTGTCACACTTCCCAAATTCTCAATTCTAAGGCTTCCCCGGATGTCATTAAGCCCATTTAGCTCCCCAAGTTCGCAACAATCTTTAGCAAGAGCTTTATCTTTGGGCAAAATGAAGCGTGTTAGCCTATGCAGAGAACTCAATTGCCCTAGTTCGCGTGGCAAATAACCAAGCTTCCAACAACCATCTATGTCTAGATTTCGAAGGCTGACTAACTTCCTTATACCCCTTGGCAATTCTTCAAGGGCACAACAGTTGTTGAGATTAAGTGTTTGCAAATTCTGCAGTCTCGTAATGGAGTTAGGAAGCCTTTTTAGTTCACGATTGCCAGAGAGGTCGAGATACGTGAGATGCTTTAACTTACAAATGGACCTTGGCACCTTCTCTACATATGTGGTATGTAGATCCAAGACGCGCAACCTCTTGAAACTTTGAATGAGTTGGCGTAAATCTACTTCACTTATTCGTCGTAGCATACAAGAGAGATATGTTCTCAGGGGACTTGCTTTCAAGTGTGAGATTGGAAGGTCACCGACACATAGATGACGTGCTCTTTCATTTATGGATTTTGTGTCATCCAATGCCACCCCACACTCATTCCCTGCAACTACGCAGGCTAGATCATGCATCAAATCATGCATCTTGCAAGTCTCCTTGTCTTCTTGAAAATCTTGAAAGAAGTTACTCCATAGTAGATCCATGAAATATCCATGAGCAATGTCTTCTAAATGTTGACTTCTATTTGATGGTTGGATAAATCCTTCTGCCATCCAAAGATTGACCAGAGTTTGCTTCTTTATCTCATAGTCTTTGGGAAACAATGAACACAATGCGAAACATTGTTTCAAATGTGAAGGTAGATGGTTGTAACTTAGCCTAAGAACCGATTTTATGTCGTCTTCGCTTCGAGACACTTCTTGGAGCTCTTTATCTTTGAAATGCATCCATTCAAGTTTAGTTTTCTTAAAGAATAGTAAACTCCCAACGGTTCGAATAACTAATGGAACCCCAGAGCACTTTCTAACTATCTCTTTGCCGATAGCTTGCATGTCAGGATCTTGCATCTCTTCTTTTCGACAAGCCATTTGCATTAATAAATCAAGAGACGCACTTTCAGATAAGCCACGAAGAAGATGAGGTGGAGTAGTGCCAGTGATCTCCACAACCGAAGAAAGGCGTGTAGTTATAAGGATCTTGCTTCCTCTAGCACCTCCCAGTAATAAAGTCTTCAAGCTCAGCCATGTTGACTGGTGTTTTTCCCACAAATCATCTAAAACTAAGAGATATCTCTTTCCATCAATTGCTGCCCTCATTTCTCTTTGCAATTGTTCCAGCGAAACCTCTATTGGTTCTTTCTTCGTTGCGCAAGCTATGATATTTTTCACTATTTTTTTCATGTCAAAGTCATTAGAGACACAAACCCATATTTTCAAGTTAAACTGTCTAGTGACCATCTCATCATTAAATACAAATTGCGCAAGAACCGTTTTTCCAAGCCCACCAATGCCAACTATTGGAAGGATGGAAACATTCTCATTCACGTTTGAATCCAATAAGAATTCTATGATCGTCTTCTTATCATCATCTCTCCCTCTAATATCTCCCTCACGTATAAATGACTGTGTCTCTTCTCTCTTCCGCCACTCTCTCTCTACTTGCAAATCCACGGGGTGCTCGGCCAAGTGGAATCTCCTACCAGCATTAATGGCTTCTATTCTCTCCCTCGCTGCTCTTATTTTGTAACTCATCTTCAGTTTAAAGGCAAGCTGGTTTGAACTTGAGAAAAATGCCTTTACCTCCTTGATCATTGTGTTGTGGCCCCTCAATTCTCGTCGTGTGGCTTCTATATTGAATTCTTCAAGCACATCTTGTGCATCATAGAATGCTTCTTTCAATTTCTCAAGCCAAACTTGGATTTGGCCACTTTGGTGGGATTGCTTCTCTGCATCGTCTAGTACGGCCCGAAGCGTGGAGACAGTGTCCCCAAGCACCTCGAGTTCATGCTTGACGCCCCATAACTTTCCAACCTTATCTAGTGATTGAGTAACCAGATTAGTAATGATCTTTCCAACAATGCTGACGATGGCAGCTTCCGCCATTTTTGTTCTCTCTCTTTGTTTGTCTTCTCTGTGCATCAGAAGATATTAATCCAGTTAGTTCGAAGGCTAGAGAATTCTAGGGAAAATTACGAAATTTAGGCACAAACCATTTTTACGGATTCCAACGAGTCTTACACTTTTCAATTTTATCAATATAGTCATAAATCTTTACATGAAATTTCAATATAGTCCTTCATACTAATTATCACCTGCAATTAGTGACGTGGCGGTCAACTCATCGTTGGCCATCCTACATGTTACCGTTGGCGATCCAACATGGACAAAACAACGCCGTCTTTTTACTTATTTATTTTTCTTTATGTTCTTTTCTTTCTTTTTTCTTTTCTTCACAATTGTTTATCATCTTCCATCTCACCATCGCTCGGCCAAAGCTCCTCCAGCGGTCCTCCATCGATGCCCACTACCGCCTAGACCTTCGGTGGCGTTCGTTGACCCATGATCAACCACCACTATTACCTTGCTCGTCCGATCTAATGGCTTAAGCTCCGCTACAGCATGGAGTTGCACATCCTATTCATACCTAATAATGATTAGCTGATGGATCTCTTAACTCCCCCTTCCACATTAGTTGCATGTTCAACATTTATGGATGCCAAGTTAATTTTATGTCATTTCATTTCTTTCTAATTCCTCCTTGTCCCACTAGGATTTCCGAAAGAAATTATGTGACTTGTAAGTATGTAAGTAACTAATAAATTTCATGTGATCAGTAACTTTCTACAAGAAATTCGACTTTCAGCTAATGAAAAAGTACTGACCTGTTTTCATGATTGCTAAAGTTTTATATAAAAGGTAACCTTTCTAGGTTGATTCTTATCGTCCCATATATATATATAAAGACAAGTTTGAACAAAATTGATGGTTTCTGCGATGTAATAATAAATCTTATATAACATGTGGTCTGTAGCTTATTCACGGAATGAGTAAGTTTTTGCGTTAAAAAAATAATTACCGCCGACCCTGTTTAACAGAAAAATGTTAGGTATTGGCAAACAATAGTTAACCCTCCCACGTGGTCCAGAAAATGAAAATTAAAGTTCATTTTTCTCAGCAGATGCATATAAAAATTTCGCCTGAAGGGGGCTAAAGAACAAAGCCCAGCTTTTTTCTGATGATATGCCCATTTTCCTAGTTTCATCACATGCTTTCCATAGAAGACAGTGCACGTTCACGTGTATGCCCAAATTGTTTACCAGAGACATCGAGTATTAAGTGTAATAAGATTTGAATCTTGAAAAGATGGAAAATTATTATAGTTGTCTGGGCAACTTCAACATCTGACTTCACGTGGTAAAGAAAATTTATCTTCATCAATCTCCGCTTTTGCCCGGATAAAAAAGAAAGAAAACATTGTGAATGAAGAAGTATGAAACCTTTTCTGTGCAAAAATGAAATTATATTTTGATACTGAAGTTCCATGCGCTGGGATAATAAAAGCAAGCTGATGAGGATGGTTTTCAACTTTAAATTTCCATACGTAGAAAGGTAAAACAGCTCTTGAAGCTGGCTAATCTTCCATTTTGAACTCTATTTAGAAATTTGGAAATCGGGACATGTTATATGTTTTCATGTGCCCAATTTGGAAAAGGCTAAATAGCCTAAATATGTAGATCTTGAGGGCCATGTTTACACCATATAAGTCAGATCTCTAAATCCAAATAAAACAAGTTGATAGTTTCCCTAAGCATTCTTTGCTTCATCAGGCTATTCATCTTCAGAAAAGCTCACTGATTAGTTCCTATAAGAAAGAACGAACCTGGCTAATCGTGGGCTGATCGACAGCCGACCAACAAAGGCGAGGCCACAACCGGCCAGATCAAGAGAGGAGGACAGGAGACGGTGTTGGCAAGACCGAGAGAGAGAGAGAGATGAGATTGGGCAAGACTCCAGAAAGAGACAGAGATCAATGGCACCGCTGGGGAAAGTCAAGAGACTAAAGAGGCTAGTTATGAGAGTGAGAACTTAAAGAAAGTAGCAAGGGTCTTATATATAAAATATTTAGCATTGTTTTGAACTCTTCCAAACCAGATCTCCCAAAAGCTGGTTCCCAGAATTTTTACATTAGAGCTGACCGGTTCCCGTGTGAACTAGTGTTGAATCGGCAAGTTCGGTTCGGTTCCGGATTGAACCGACCTAGTTGCTCACCCTTAAAAATATGATACATTTGAGTTCTAACAACAAACAATATAAGGCTAATCCCTCAATTAGCGAAAGGGAAGGACCATCATAAAGCGTAGAGTTCCTTTTGTCTAACTAAATTAGATAGCCCATTATATAAAATGAAAAGCCAATCATACAAAATGATTGGTCAATTGAAATCCTTTAATATCACGTCTATTATCAAATATAATATTATTTATATTAGATGAGATTACAATGGAGATTTTTTATGCTACGTATTAAAAGTCAAATGTGAAAGACTTGTAGTAGTCATTATATTTCATAGAGGATGTGGTAGGAGAGGTAACTCTTCTTTGCAACTCCTCCGGCAGATGTAATTCTCCTTTTACCTTACCGACAATATGCTTCAAGACAATCACTTCAATTATGATAGTGTTGCTATTCGTCCACGTATGTTGTCTCTATGGTGCATTTCTTCTTTTCATACCTTTTGACTCTGTGTCGTTGTTTTGCTTTACAAAAACAAGAGAGTCACGGGAAGGTTCAGAGAAAGATCTGACCAACCGGTCAACCCGCGGGTGGCGATGGTGATTCGACAGTTCCCACAAAAATAATACCAACCGATTGCTGAAGTCGCAGCCCAAAACCAACCTTGCCTATGCATTGTTCTCTAAATTAAGCCTAACTTTTTGTCTGCAAGTGTTTGGCGTTGTTTAGTTCGCACAATTTACGTAATATATATAATTTTTTTTATAATTTTTGTCATGGTGGGAAAGTGAAAAAGTTGTGTGCGCTTATGCTGTACGAAGGCCCTCACTTTTCACATCTAAGTAAAAAGAAAGAACGACATGCATATACCAACTATTCAAATTAATAAAAGAAAAAAAAAACCGAAAAAGTCGCACACAACGAGTATTATACAAAGCCCTCGGCAAAAGTATCTTTAAGGTGGGGCCGAGGCCCAAGATCACAATTTAGGGTGGAGATTTTGTTGGCACATAGTGAATTTGGAGTAGACAGCGTGTGCAAAGACAGATCAGACGAGTTCGGTGGTGTACAAAGTCATACTGCTACACATAACTGAAATGGCCAGAAAGCAACTTAACTCCACCATGGTCACCTATTAACATCACTTTGCGCTTTTTTTTGTTTTTGTTTTTTTTGCTTTGATTTTGTGCCGCTTCTGTCTCCTTCCTCCTCCCGTGGATTTTAGAGATAGGGAGACCAGGCGCTTTTGGGACTCCAGATAATAAAAATCAAATATTAATCGGTCAATTGTTACTCATTAACAGCCCACCCCCTCATTTATTACATAAAACTTAATATAGGCACCCACCTGATTTATTGTCCAAAAACCCTCTTAAAGATACTATAAGAGTACAATAATAATTGATAATACAAAATATTTAAATGACAAAAACCAATTGCAAAACCAATGTATATATGTATATTCACGAAAGATTACATCCAATTTAATAGATAAGGTAAGTTGATGTATTATTATAAAAACAGTATCTTAGATTAAATGCAATGATTAAGTTTTTTTCTGCTTTATTTTAAAGTAATATGTCTAATTAATGTTACGAAAAGTGGTAAGGAATGAAGTTTTGTAATGATATAGCTCAACCATTAAGCTCCGTTCTAACTTGCTTTCTCTTTATCGCGTATATATACATAATACAAATACATAATTTGGTTTCACAAATGACACAATAAAGTAGAACAAAACAATGTAATCATGATGATCAGAGTTTTCTTTGGACTTGCTTTTTATGTTTTTTATAAAGGCAAAAACAAAAATTTTAAAACATTATTTAAATATTAAAAGATTTTGAAGAAATCATGCATTAATTTGACCGCCAAAAAAATGTAAAAACAAAATTTAAAAACATTATTTAAATATTAAAAGATTTTTAAGAAATCATGCATAAATTTGACCGCCAAAAAAAATGTAAAAACTTGTCCAAGACAAGATTAGATTCAAAATATATAGATAAAAATCTATTAACACAGCCCTTAGATATTTTGCCGAGGCTTGTGAGAGCGCAAAGGTTGAAATTTACTACAAGCGGTATTGCGGTCCTCCGATTTGGCGTCTCCTATTTCCTTACTTCTGCTTTCTCCCAAAGGCAACCATAAAAAGGGTGAAAAAAAAACATATTTGGCGACCTTTGCAAAACAAAATGCAGAGAGTAAAATGCGTTAGGGCCGAGTGATTTCAGATTTCATATAGATTTTACTTGGAGATGTTGTTGGTACGTGGCGAAGCTGGATTGGACAACATCTTCAAATTACAGATAGGACGAGTATACTGGAGTTGGGTCCCACGGCTATTCACTGAGGCATAGTACTAGGGTCCATGTGTATGAAGCCGGACTTCCATATGAGGTTGACAGAAGACGAAATATAATAATTGCAACGTGACTAACATGGTCAAAAAGTAACTTAACTCGATCATAATTAACTATTAACCACACTTTTTCTTCTGTTTTATTAACTTGGTTCAGCACCACGTCTATCTTCTCCCTCCTCATCTGCGTTTTTTTTTTTGGTCATCTCCTCTGCGTTTTAGAAGAGAGAAACCAGACGCTTTTGAAACTCTAGATATAAAAAATCAAATGTTGATTTATTAATTGTCCCTCATTAATGGCCAATTACCCAATTTATTTCATGAAACTTAATATAGGCACCCTACCTCAATCATAGTAAAAAAAAACCCTCATAAACATAAGGAAAAATTTCAATTAAGGACCCCAAGTGGGGTCAAATTCTCAAAAAAGGGTCCAAAATGAACATTGTGTCAAATAAGCACTGAAACTTAATCGCCTCAAATAAGGACTGGGTCCCCTACGGCCAAAATACCGCCGGCCGGGCGAGAAAGATACTGCTCCGCATCGAACAGTAACTTTTTAACTTTTTTATTATTTTCTTTCTTTTTTCCTTTTCTGTTTTTGTTCTTTTCCTTTTCCTTTTCTTTTTTTTTTTTTTATTTTCTTCCTCCGCCGGCCATAGCCGGGGCCGGCGGAGGTCGCCGGCCTCAGGCGAGGTCGCCCTCGCCCGCATCGGGCGAGGGCCGCCCTCGCCCGGGCCGGGCGAGGCCGCCTCGCCGGCGTCGGCGAGGCGGCCGGCCTCGCCCGGTTGCAGGCGAGGTCGAGCCTCGCTAGATCTGACGAGGGCTTGGCCTCGCCGGCCGCCGGCAAGGCTCGACCTCGCCGGCCTCGCCGGCGTCAGGCTGGCCGGCAGGCCTCGCCCGGTTGCGGGCGAGGTCGAGCCTCGCCGGCCGGGCGAGCTCGACCTCGCCGGCCTCGCCGGGCGTCGGCGAGGCCGGCCTCGCCGGTTGCGGGCGAGGTCGAGCCTCGCCGGCCGGCCGGCGAGGCTCGACCTCGCGCCGGCCTCGCCGGCGTCCGAGGCGAGCCTCGAGCCTCGCGGTCGAGCCTCGCCGCCCCGCGTCGGGCGAGGTCGAGCCTCGCCGGTTGCGGGGCGAGGTCGAGCCTCGCGTTGTCGGCGAGGCCGGCCTCGCCGGTTGCTGGCGAGGTCGAGCCTCGCCCGGATCCGCGAGGGCTCGGCCTCGCCGGCCGCCGGCGAGGCTCGACCTCGCCGGCCTCGCCGGCCGGGCGAGGTCGAGCCTCGCCGGCGTCGGGCGAGGTCGAGCCTCGCCAGATCTGGGCGAGGCTCGACCTCGCCCAGAATCGGGCGAGGCCGCCGCCCGACAACGGCGAGGCTCGACTCGCCCAGAATCGGGCGAGGCCGGCCGCCTGACGCAGCGAGGCTCGACTCGCCAGCAATCGGGCGAGGCCGGCCTCACCCGCAACCGGCGAGGCCGGCCGCCGACGCAGCGAGGCTCGACCTCGCCCGCACCGGGCGAGGCCGGCCGCCCGACGCCGGCGAGGCCGGCCGCGGGAGGCCGGCGAGGAGGTCGAGCCTCACTAGCCGCCGGCGAGGCCGGCCTCGCCCGACGCCGGCGAGGGCCGGGCTCGCCTCGAGGCCTGGCGACCTCACGGCCTGGGCTATGGCCTACGGAGGAAAAAAAATAAAAATAAAAAAAAGAAAAGGAAAAGGAAAAGAACAAAAACAGAAAAGGAAAAAAGAAAGAAAATAATAAAAAAATTAAAAAGTTACTGTTCCGGTGCCGGAACAGTAACTTCCTCGCCGGCCGGCAGGTATTTTGGCCGGCCGGGGACCCAGGTCCTTATTTGAGACATTTTGGGCACTTCAGGTCCTTATTTAAGACTGATTAAGCACTTCAGGCCCTTATTTGACACAATATTCACTTTGGACCCCTTTTTGAGAATTTGACCCCACTTGGGGTCCTTAATTGAAATTTTCCCTAAACATAATATTAATGTATAATAACAATAGACAATAAAAAATAATTTAAATGATGAATACTAATTACAAAATATATATATACATGAAGGGTTGCATGCAATTTAATGAATAAGGCAAATTGATATTGATATATTGTTTTAGAAACGTTGTATTAGATTAAATGATATGATTAAATTTTTTTCTACTTTATTATAATGTAATATGTCTAATTAATGTTATGGAAAGTGAAAAGGAATTGATTTTAGTAATGACGAGGCTTAATTATTATTTTTCCCGTATCGTAGTTGTTTTAGATATCTCGTTGGTGATTAAATTCTAGCAAGTATCTTAGAATCTTAGTTGCAACTTTTAGATTTTCGTTGTCGATTGAATTCCGATGTTGTATCTTTATATCACTACGCTTTGTCATCAATTACATTCCGGCAAAGTTTCATGTACTTTGACATTGATTAAATTCTGTTGAAATATATTTGGCAGTTTCCTTGTGTGTGGAATCACCATAAAACTTGTCTCGTCTTATAAAAAAATCAAAAAACAACTTTTGGTAAAAAATATTTCATCATCGAATCCAATTCTGGTAAAACAATTAGTTATTAACG